TTGAACCACCAGCCTTCTGGTGAGCAGTCACGTGCCTTAGGCACTATGCTACCAAAGCTCCTACTCTGTCATATAGGGTTGCTTTAAGTTGGAATCAACTTGATGGCAGTGGTGGGGAGTAGGCATTTGTAATTATTATAGGTCTTAACCCTTTATTTATAATATATGTTGCAGATACTATTCCCAATTTGTCACTTGTCATTTGGCTTTCTTTATGTTGTTTTTATTTGTTTTGTTTTTATAATTTAGGTTTTCTTAAGTTTTGGGAGGGCTTCTCTTTTCCTTTATGGTTACTGGATTTTCTATCATTCCTTGAAAGGCCTGTCCCTACTGGAAAGTCAATAATATTTTCTTGAAATCTTTCAGGATTTCTTCCTTGTTCTTTTTAACAGCTTTACAGTACAGTGCGGTTGTAACTTTTTCCTTATTGACAGATACTGAATTTGTCTACAGTTTTTTAATAGTTATGAGCAGTGTAGCTCTGAACATCATAGTCTTTGAGTAATTTTGTAGGATGGATAATCAGAGTAGAAATTCTGGGAGTTGGAATTCCCATAATTTTATTTCAGTTGGTAACTATAGTGGATTTTTATACAGGATATGTGCTGAAGTTACTTAATTTCATTCTAAAGTTCTACTTTATGTCAATATGTAAAGGAGAGGTCCAGCTTTAATTTTCATTGAAGCCTTACTTTATAGATTTCAACAAATGTCATATTTATTGGCTTTTTCTATATAAATTACATTTCATTTCAATTTTTAATTATGCATCTGTACTTTATTTTTTATAAAGGAAAACTATATACAGATTCCAAATAGTAATTTTTTAGGAACAGTTTAGAAAATTTTCATTATTCCTCTAACATGGTGTTAGGAAAATCTATAGTTTGTAATTTGAGTCTCTGCAGAAACATACTTGATGCTATTTATTAAATGACACATTATATCCTTAGATCTACAGGAAAGCATATCCAGAATCCATCGAACAATTGACCTAATGTACTCTGACAAATCTATGATCCAAGTAAGTGAAATTTTGAGGTAGTAACCATTATCAAAATTATTTATATATATTTTCATTTTTGTTAATACTCTCTTGCTTAACCTAATTCTCCCTTACACATTTGGCCATAAAATTGCTAAACTTAAAGTTACCACATTAATATTTTCCCTTTTCAATTGTGTTCTCATACTGTATTTATCGCCTCCACTTTATTACTATTATATTATTATTATTTTATAGCAAAATTTATTCAAATTTTTAGCTAGGTCTTGTTGAAAAATTTAAAAAATCCTATGGGAGACAATATATGGTGTTATAAAGATATTGAGAGATTATGGGAGAAACATCTAGAAGTCAATTACATATTGATTTCTAGTATACATTATATAAGTTACTTTGTTAAACTCAGCCATCAAATTATAGTTGTGAAGATTTAGATGAATCAAGTGCTATTTATAAAACTGGTCATCATAAGTTCTATATATGGTTAAGAAATAACCTATATAGGTAAACAGATACTGCATACACAACAAATACTTTTTCAGAGTTTTGAAAATCATTGTTTTATCTACTCCCCCACCTGTTTTATGTTTCTGTAGCTTACTTAATATCACTTTTTTTTTCTTATTTGTACTTCATAGGTTTTTTTTTTTTTTTTTGGTAAATTTTAATTCCAGCCAATTTTTTTTGAAAAATACAAATAATATCCTCTATATGATTAGTTTGAGAGTTCATGGAATGTGTTGTAATGGACTATGTACCTGAAATTTAACTTCCTTTTTTTTTTTTCACATTTAGGTTCCTTATCGTTTACATGCAGTTTTAGTTCATGAAGGCCAAGCTAATGCAGGGCATTATTGGGCATACATTTTTGATCATCGTGAAAACAGGTGGATGAAGTACAATGACATTGCTGTGACAAAATCATCATGGGAAGAGTTAGTGCGGGACTCTTTTGGTGGTTATAGAAATGCCAGTGCATACTGTTTAATGTATATAAATGATAAGGCACAATTCTTAATACAAGGTAAGTATATGAAATGTACAGGTTTTATATATGTTTTTGTATTTTCCTTTTGTGCTGATTGTGTATATATCTTTAAATAAATAATCCTTTTATGTGTGGTATGATTACTTAAGCAATTCACTCAGAAGGTGATGAATATGATTAGGAAGTGCTTGCTGTTGGGCTATTGCATGGGATAATGCTGGAATTGAGAGGTAAAGTGATCAGGGCTGAGAAATGGAATGTATTTTGTACTCAGTGTTATCTATTAAATGTATGTTTGACCTTCTTTTTCCTTGTCAAAAGCCCTTTAATTACCATGCCCACTCATTAATGTTTAAGCATTTTAGCATGTTTTCTGTCTTCTGACTTTATCTCCAACTTCACTCTTCTCCATCTGGAACTATTCATACTGCACTGATATTTGAACTTCTTGCTGTATTCTGCTTATACAATATTGTTCCACACATTTATATCCATGTGTTCTGTTTTCTCATGCTTTTTTTTTTTTTTGCTCATCTCTTAAGACTCAATTCAAGTGTCATCTCCTCTGCAAAGTTTTTCTTGATCTGTCAGAAAGTATCTCATTTTGTGTTTGCACAGTGGATTTCTGTAGGCATTTATTGTTTTGTGTTGATATTTAGTGCTGACTTGCCTTTCCCACTGCACTATGATCTGCTCAAAATCAGGGACCATATCATATCATCCTTCAGGTTCCTACTTCTGATATTTTAATACAGGTTTTCCATATAGGAAACAATTAAACTCTGTTGAAACTGATAAAATTAACTTTCTTATTGTATTTAACCATTCAGAAAAACTAAGCAGTCCATTTATGGCTGAAAAAGTAAAATTTTTTGCACGCGTGTGTGGTGTGGTAAAGATTGAGTAACTTTTAAAAACTATTTACATAACGTTCTAAAAACATCTTCCCATATTGATTAGTTTTCATAATTGAATATTTTTATTCTATAATTAAAATTGTTTTTATCTGAAGCAGTTTTATTTCAAGCATAATAAGTTTGAGATATTTCCTCATATTTTATGAAGAGTTCTACTTTATGAGTAATTAGGCATCTGTTACATTCTTATAATAGCAAAATTTGGGGTTTTATAGCTTGATATTTCATTTCTACTTAGATTAAAAAATATGCTAAGAAAATTACCTGTTATGGATTATATATTATTTGTGTAATTGTTTTTTTGAACATCTGTTTGAGTTTTCTTTTAAGTTTTAAATATAATTCATTTGCTGTAGGGTAACAATTCATAATTTAAATCCCTTTGATGGAATGCATTTGATTTTGAACTTTGCATTTTTCCTTTCACCCTTGATTTCATATTGGTTTTCTAAAATATGATTTGCAGAAGAATTTAACAAAGAAACTGGACAGGCCCTTGTTGGAATAGAAACATTACCACCAGATTTAAGGGATTTTGTTGAGGAAGACAACCAAAGATTTGAAAAAGAATTAGAAGAATGGGATGCACAACTTGCCCAGAAAGCTTTGCAGGAAAAGCTTTTAGCATCTCAGAAACTGAGGGAGTCAGAGTCTTCTCTACCAACAGGTTAGTCTGTTTTTATTAACTATTTATTATATTAATATTATTATATTTATTGTCAGTTTTATTATTATAAAAGAAGATGTGTTCATTGAAAAAACAAACAAAAACTTTAAAGTATGAAGAAGCAGTAAAAATCTGAAATTCCATTATTCAGAGATAACCAAAAGTAACAATTTAGTTAACCCATTATTTGCCAGAAACCGCTTTATGCACATACATCTTTTACCAAGACAAATTAGACAATTCTATTGATGCTTTCTTCTATCTATCCTGTCTTCTTTCTTGGGCTTGGCTTGGCAAGAAGCGGAAAAATCTGTGAGATCAGCAAACAACACAGACAAATTCCCTAAAGCTGTTAAGAGAATGAACTCTAGTAATTTAAAATTTGAGCAAAAAACATGTTGGTACATCCATGCATAGTTTGTGTAATATTGAAAGCCACTATTAACACAGTATATTTGATTTGATTTTTTATTCTTAAAAATAACCAGTACTAAATATTTCATATACTCCAACTAAAAAAGTATAAAATATAAAAACTAGATAAATTTATTTTAAAAAATCATTCAAAAAATTATTAGCTGGTGACATCAATAAAATATTCATTGTATGAAAAGGAACAAAACATGTTCTAGCAGAATTGAAAATAAAATGTCTTTGGTCTCTCTTTTTTTTCCCCTAAAAGATTAATTTCATGGTCACTGAATTGAGAATATATTTTAGGGTAATGTATTTCCTGCTGCAAAAAGAACTATTTCTTTACACTAGTTGGAGAAATGAGAGGAGATAAATTAAACTCAGATATTTTCCTCAAGCTCATTTGTCTCCTTTTGTTTTAATAACTCTAAGTGGATCTTTTAAAATAATTTTTTTTTTTTGCAAAGTCTGTGCTGTTTTGATTTTAAGAAACATTTCAGATTTTGTTTAATTTGAACTTGTGCAGAGATCCTCGTGTAAGTAATATTACCCAGTGTGTTTCAGCATCAATAGTACAGTTAGAAAAAATTATTTCTACAGTAGAAGATTTACAGTACTACAGTATAGTATTGAGTGATCATGCTTACAACTTAAGACTTGTAGTTTGTTTTCATATAAATTGAATATTTCTGTCACTGATTTTAAGAAGAAAATGATTCAGTTTTTTTTAAATTGAAATATACCAACAAAGATACCAACATTTTGATACTTGAAAGTTCTACAGTATACCTGTGAATACTATAAACCTCTCTATTACAATTCTAGTGCATGCTAGCATTACCTAGGATTGTACTTTCTCACCATACATTAAAGCCCACCATGTGAAACTCAACCATGTGGGTGACCCTCTATTAGTTATAAAAATGTAGTTTTATTACAGTGACCATGTCCACATTACTGGGAAATGAAATGGCTCAGTTGACTTCCAGAGGTTTTCTGTCCTCATCACAGTATGTTGTTGTCCTCATCATTGTATGTTGTTGTTGTATGCTGTTGAGTAAACTTCTGAATCATAGTGTCCCCATGAGACAGAGTAGAATTACCCCATAAAGTTTTCTCTGCTATGATTTTTATGGAAGCAGATTTCTAGTTCTTTTCTCCCACAGAATGGCTACATAGAATCTTCATTCTTCTGTCTGGCAAACTCAGCTTACCCATTCTTCAGCTTTAGGTTCCTTTATCCCATATCCCACAACCTAAATTCACCATCATCTAGTTTTATTCTTAGAATATGCTTTTATAATATTGTTACAATTCGTAATAATGGATATGATTTTTTGGTTGATGGATTTCTCCATAATTGACTATAAGCTTCCTGTGGGCAACAACTTTGTTTATAGCTGAATTCCCAGTACAGTACCTAGCCTAGTGCCTGGCACATAGATGCTTAATTAAAATTTGTTGGGTAAATGAATGATCATGTGTGTACTTCGAAATTATGATTTTTTTTTTAAATAATATTTCACTTTGAGAAATTTTTTAAATTAATAAAATATTGGCTAGGAGAAGAGTAGTCTTGTTGTGTTCTACTAGATAACTGAGCAAAAACCAATCCCAATAGCATCATAGAACATTTTAATGTACTTTGTTTTCCCCCATATCCATTCATTAAATTACTTACTAATTTATTTATTCCATTATGTTATTATGTGCCTGTTGAATGCTAGGTATTGCACAATAAGCAATACAAAAGGGAGACAGCATCCCTTACCTTGAGATTGTTTAGGCTATCAGAGGATATGGCCTTTAAACAAATACAATAATAATTAAGTAATAATCATGATAAGAGCTATTAAAAAGAAAACATAAGTTACTTTCAAGTAGTGGTTCTCATCTAGGAGAGATCTCCCTTCTTCCAGGGGACATTAGGTAATAATCTGGAGACATTTTTAGTTGTCACACCTTGGGGTGAGGTTGGTGGCGCTGCTGTCATCTGGTGGGCAGATGCTGACTGCAGTGGACAGCTCTCTGCATCAAAACTCGATCCAAAATGTCAATAGAGCTGAGGCTGTGGAATTCTACCTTAGAATTTTATCACTAGGAGACCTAGCCTAGTCTGAAGTATCAGAAATGCTTTCATAGGGAAGTGGCATTTAAGCCAAGAACAAATAGAACTCACTAGATGGGCCGAGTGAGATAGTAGGCGAACATATGGGCAGAGGAGAGAGTATATGGAAGGATCTGAAGGACACTCTTATTTGGAGTATTAATAAAGCAAAAAAAAAAAAAATGCCTATTATGTCCCTCTTTGAGCAAAGGATGAAAGGCACAAGATGATGGGGCCCACTTATATAAAACCTTATAAGTCGTAAAGGGATTTTAAAATTGTCTATAAAATATACATCCTTACGAGTGTATTGTTGATCTTTCATAGTACATTATTGGCTATAAGGGTCCTGAGTTCAGAAGATAGGTAACAGTTGGTGATATGTATTTGGGAGTTACCTTCACATGCATGGTATTTGAATTCATTAATTTATAATGGTACCAGTTTATATGGTTGATTTTGTTTTTCCTCTGCCAACACTGAACTAGTTGGGGCAAGTTCAGAAAAGATGGAAGGTTGGGTTTTTATTCGGAGTTAGGTCTTGGTCAGGTGTGCTATCTGTGCAAACTCAGACCAAGATTGCAAAGAAGCTGAAAACTTTTTTTTAATAAGTTGCTAATGATTTTCCAAAATGAGATTTTTATGTGTAACGTGTCACAATAATTTACTATGAATTCCTTACCATAAACTATAATGAATGCTGCTTCAGTAATTATTAGAATTCTGGTTTTTTTTTGCAAATTCTGGGAAAATGCTTTACATCGAAGGATATTTTACTTTAAATAGAAGAGTAAAATTGGTTGTTAGCCAAATTCATAATTATTAGAAATAGGTAATAAAGATTCACTTTAGTATATAGACTCTCTGTGATTTATATTAGATACACAATTGATTCTTTTCTCATGAAGCACAAGCCGGAGAACCAGAATATCTAGAACAGCCATCAAGAAGTGATTTCTCAAAACATTTGAAAGAAGAAACTATTCGAATAATTACCAAGGCATCACATGAGCATGAAGATAAAAGCCCTGAAACAGTTTTGCAGTCGGTAAGAATGTGCCTTTTAGTTCTCTGAACTTAGCCGCGTTTACAACATTTCCTAGGAGTGTGATGGCTAGTGACCTGTCTGGAGAGGCAGGGCCAAGTGATGGCTTTACTATATATGAGCTCAGTGACTGTGGAACTATGGACCAGGTACCTAACCCTCAGGCTGTAATTTTCTAAGCTGTAATTTAAAAGGCACTTTTTGTAGAAATTTCAAACTTCCTGTTAAGAGAATTAATGAAAAGTCTAAATCATAGACTAAATTGGACATTTGATTTTGAACTTTTAAAATAGTAGTGAAATTTACAGTAATTATAGCCTCCATCTGCAGCCTTATTACATTAAAAGAGTTGGGAATTTAAGGTATAATTTTCATTGTTCTATGAAATGTGTTTAACAATAAAACCACTAGATGCTCTAGGTTAGAGTACTTACTATGAGCAGGATTTTTACAGTATTACAAAACTGTTTATGCATATTTCAGTAGGGTCTCCTGTATAAAAACAAGCATTCTTATCTTACTATATTCTAATTCTGAAGCATGTCTTTTTTATAGCAATAAATTGAACACATGGGTACTGTGTTTTGTTATTTATAGTATATGATATACTGAAAGGGAGCTCTGGTAGCACAGTGGCTAAGACACTTGCCTGCTAACCAGACGGCTGGCGGTTCAAACCCACCAGCCACTCCTCGGAAGGAAGGTTGGGCAATCCTACTTCCGTAGTGATACTGCCTCGGAAACCCAAGGAGGGGTCGCTGTGAGTCGGGGCCGACTCGATGGCACATAACAACAACAACATACTGAAAGGTGTTATTTCAAGAATTTAGAACTATAAAACCATTCATATGCTGTGGTTGTTTATCTTTTGTTTTATTAGTGAGCATAAGCAGCTCTAATGCTGGTTTCATGATAGCTGATTTTAATATTTGAAGAGTCCCCTCCTAGAGGACTGGAAAAACAGTACATGTGAAAATTTTATAGCACAGATTTCTGATAAGTGGATTTAACCTGCTAATTGCACTCAAAACTCACTGCCGTCTAGTCAGATCTGATTCAACGACCCCTCCTTGGGTTTTGAGGTAGTATCACTTCCGTAGTTTGCCCAACCTTCCTCCTGAGGAGTGGCTGGTGGGTTTCAAAGGAGGTCTTTAATACAGTAAGACTTTGATTTACCAAAATTTTCAATAAGAGTATTTTGTTAAGTAGGTTATTGAACTAAATAATTAGAAAATACTTTTTTATTTCTTCATTTCTTGTTTAGAAATATTTGAAAATATATTAACATCATCTTACAAAAAAAAAAAAAAAAACCTTTTCAATATATATTCATGTAATTAGATTTTTTTGATAATCCCAAACGTTGTATAAAAATAATGGCTCAGAGACTCTAAATAAGCTCTGATGAATATCTGCTAATTCTAAAGCATTTTATGGGACATGCTTTTAATGAATCTGGGGTGTGTGTTTCTTAGGAGATGGTAAAATAAGAAAACCTAGGACAGGAGATTGGGCAATCTACTTCTGTAATGGTACTGCCTCGGAAACCCAAGGAGGGGTTTGGACTCAACAGCAGTGGGGTTTTTTTTTGGTTTTTTTTTGGCAGGGAAGGAGAAGGCATAGTGGTAGGTATAAGAGAGACATTTTTTTTTGCCTGGAAACCATAGTTATTTTGCCAGGGCCTTTGCTAATTATGATTTTTATTTCTTAGAGCCTATATTATGACTAATAAGGAACTAGATTTGGAAAAGAAAAGCATTATATATTATAGAATCATGATTTTTTTAGTTTGACTATTAATATAATTGAAATTCCCAGAAATCAGCACTTAAATTTTGATTATTTGCTTTCTTAACGTTCATCTTGTTTTCTAAGCTGGGAACCCATTGCCTTACTTTCACGTGAGAAAGCGAATGACAGAGCAAGAAAATGGAACATAGATATTTTTTCCTGTTCACTTGTCTTTTTGAATAGTGCCCATAGCTGATCCTATTGTCTATATAAATCCTGAAACATCTCTAAGAATGTGATTGTGGCTGTCTGAAGAAGGATGTGGTTCTTGGTTTAATGGTCAATTGCTTTAAAAAGAAAAAAAATAATAATGAAAACTAAAAACCCATTACTGTGGAGTCGATTCTGGCTCATAACAACCCACAGGGCTTCAAGCTTTTGGGTTTGAGCTACCAGTCTTTCAGGTAGCAGCAGAGTGCTTAACCATTGTATTGTACCACCAGGGCTCCTGGTCAGTTGCTTAGGATCATGGTAAGCATTCCTTGTTTGGGTATTATTCAGTCCTATAATTTAGAAGCTTAATTGCATAGGCTTTAAAAAAAAAAAAAAAGTCTTCAGAGTAATACAGTCCTGGGTTTTTGAATGCTGTTTTTATTACTTACTCTGAAACGTTGAATAAATTGCTTAATGTCTCTAAACCTCACGTTTATTTTCAACAAAATAGAAGTCATTGTGGGATTAATTAAGATGTTTTCTTTGAAAGTACCAGAAATGCAGTAGGCACTAAGTAGCTTCTCAAGGGTTCACAACAACAAAGTAGCTATTAGGTCCTTTCTGTTACTTAAACTCTAGCCATCTTATGGGTATAACAGTATATCACTAAGTTCCAACTCTATAAGAATTCCCTGGAAAGTTTAGAATCACAAAACCATAAGGAGGTGTTTTTTAAATGTCTGGGCAGCTTGAGCTTTAGAAGGATGTCTTCAATTTTAAGTGAAAACACTTTAGAAAATTTGAAAAGTACAAAAAAACAGACTTAAAGAAAGAATCATACATATTCCCGCTACCAAAGTTAATCATTGTTAATATGGTGTGCTCTTTCACTCTTACTTTTATACACAGGTTTGGCATTTATTTTACATAGTTGTGTTACTACTACATGTATAATTTTTTATCTTGCTTTTTCTATCTTTATTCATTTAATCTTACCACCATTTCTCCATGTTAAAAACATTTTATAAAAAATGTTTAATGGTTGAATAGTATTCCATTGAGTGATTAAATTTGTGTTAACTTATCCATTCCCCATTAGAAAATTTGTTTCTAATTTTACATTATCATGAATGAACAGTCTGTTTGAAAGAGTCTGTTTCATATTTCAAATTATTTCTTTAGAGTAGATTCTCCAGAATTGAATAACTGAATTATATGGACATTTTAAAGTTCTGTGGCCAAAAGGATTGTAGTTAATGTAGCTTTCTAACAACCCTTTTATGAGAATATTTATTTATTTAACTCAGATTGTTTCTGTAGTTCTAATTAATAAAAATATTTTATTTCAATTATTTTTGAAACTTATTAACTGAGAAATTTATCTTAATACCTTTCAAGCATATCCTTTTTTAGAGTATATATATATAGGGCCTGATAATAAAACAAGAAAATAAGTACACATATATTTTACATCAATGAATCTCAAAAACGTCACCCTTAAATGTTTTAAATAAATATTGTAGTGATTTAAGATTACCTAAACTCAATAAATGATACCTTAGAATTACTATATGTACCCCAAACTTTCTCACTTTTCATCCATATAATTGATCACCATTGTGCTGCTAAAACTCTTCTGCAGTAACTGGAAAGTAAAGCTTACAAAACATTTATTTTTCCTAAATGCCGTTTTGTTTTCCAAAGAGACTAAATAAATTGTTTTACAAAGATTAGTATTCTAAGTAATACATTTCTAAGTTGCTACTTGCCTTAAATGTTTTAAATATGTGTTGTCTATTCTGGGTTGATTTGCAAGTGAGGAGTTCTTCACTAGAAAGTCCAGACAGATTTCCCAATTTACCTGTTTTTAGTTCACTCTTATGAATGGAAACCTGGTACAAGTTTTCTTCTCTAACATCCTAAAGATTAAAAATCTCTTAATTAGATAGCATGGGCCAAGCATGTGGCTATAGAATATGTGTAATAGTCATATTTTAGCTAGAATTGCTCAAAACAGCAATTTAAAGTAGCATAATAAAAGAGTATAATGTTGATAACATCTGCCATTTATAGAACAACTCATGTACCAGTTGCTGGGATAGCTGAATGTTATTATCTCACATGATCACAGCTATGCAGGCTGGTTATTTCCTTTTGAAAAACTGAAGATCCAAATGAAATGAGAAGACTTTTTCTAAAATTGTATGGTTAAAAATAACATTTATTTTAGAAGAGGAAAATACCAGTATTGGCCAAAAACCCAACCAAACTCACTGTCGTGGCGTCAATGCTGACTCCTTGCAACCCCCTAGGGTTTCTAAGGCTGTAAATCTTTACAGCAGCAGACTGCCTCATCTTTCTTCTGTGGAGCAGCTGGTGGGTTCAAAACACCAACCTTTTTCATTATACCACCAGAGTTCCTTAGTCTTGGCCATTAGTTTCCCTTTATTGTTTGGCTGGAAAACCAGAAAAATGTTCATGTGCTGAAATTTACCTGTATTTCAAATTGAAATAAAACTCCTTTAATTACTCTTTATTAAAATATCTATTTTATGTTAGAATTATGTTTAGGAAAATAGTTGTGCTTAGGAACACTGTTCTATAGTACAAATTGAAGTTACTTAACCAAGCTGCTTCCAGATACCTTAAGTACTTTAAGAATGTGTTTGTAGGCAAACTGTGTGACACACTAGTTATAAATCAATTTAGTGAGATAAGACCTTTTTGCGGTTACTGGAATTTTTTTAAACATAACCATCAGCTATATAGATAGCATTAAGAAGTGCAACTTCAGTATTTATTATTTTTAAGGATTTGGAGTCAAAATGCTTTGTGGGGTAAGAAAAATAATCTTAATGTAGCATTTTGGAGGGAAGAGGAAAGCTATACATCCTGTAGTATTACTTGACTCATATATTTGCCTCTAATGTTCAGGTTTAGGTTGCTTCATTTCATACTAAGCCAATGCAGATACTTTAGAAGACTAGAAAGCACTCAAACTTGGTGTTTCCATTCTTCTCTTTTCTAATGTTGATGCTAATTTTCTTCTGCAGAAACCTGAAAATGCCACAAGCCAACCACCTTCTAACCAGCAAGTTGTAGAGGTGGCGATTCCTCCTGTAGGGAAATTTATGGTTGAGTCAAAGGAGGGGGGTTATGATGACGAGGTACCTTTATTATAGCCTCTGCACCATTCCTATTTATTTTTTGCTTTTTAATAAATGTACTTTGGGCATGCCTGCACCCACACACTGAAGTCTGTTGTGCATAACCTACAGCTTTGCCACGCATAGTTTGAAATTACCTTACCAACTACTAACAGAACCTTGAATTTTAAATGCAAATTTAAGTAGAAAACTTATGGTACTTGTCAGAAGAAGAATTTTAGGTTTCTGGAATTCTTTTGTGTAGAAATAAGAGTAATTTTCATTCAGGTTGGTGCATTACAATTGAATTTGTTTAATTAAATAGAAAACTATTGAGCATTTTGTAATTTTTATTTTCCTTTCCTGTTTTACTTGAATTATTTATAATATTTTGCCCAACATCGTCTACCAGATAATCCTACAATATCATTGAAAAATAGATCATTGATATTTTTGTTTCTGCATCTTATCTGTGTGTACCTGTGAATTGAATGTTTTAACATTACTGAGTGCCTACAGGTGTTCACAGTGGCCCCTGCATTTTATTTCCTCATATCTCTTCATTGTTAATACTCATCTACTTAAGTAGTTTTCCAATAGTACAAAGGCATTTTCACTTTTTGTGATATAATTCTTAGGAATCTATATGAAAACATGTTTGTTATCCTGGTCCATCAAATTATTTCTTCTCTTTTCTGCTTTTTCCTCTGAGATTCTTAGAATTATTCTTTTCCATATTAGACTGAGAGGCAGTAAAGCCATTTCTGAAAAATAAGAACAAAATAGACCATGTCTATATGGGAGGGGGATGTTTGAGAAAAAGCTTGATGGATCGTCTCATTTGTTGGTTTTTACTAGCATAGATAAATGAGAATTGAACATATATTAGTTTTCCAAGTACCTTTTTTTCAGATTTACTCCAAGGTTATATTTAACTATTAAAAAGAGTTAATCTCTAAAATCAGAAGTGTAATATGAATATCACCGTGCTAACATAAACAAATATGAACTATAAAGAGAATATGAAGCAGATTTATGAGATTGGAACTGGTCAGGTTTTTCTTAAGCATATAATGTTAGATATATTGTAACTTTCAGTATCTAATCCAAAATAAATACATGTTAATAAACTTCAGTGAAAGAGATAATGAGTGCAATCTCTTGGATTGCTCTAATAAGATAGCTTCATAGTACATTGAGCTATATGATTTTGTAGATATTTTAAAATATAAACTTCTGAGAGTAATAAGCTATTATGAAAACAAAGAAGTACATTTGTTGTTGTTGTTATGTGCCATCAAGTCGAACCCAACTCTTAGCGACCCCTCCTTGGGTTTCCGAGGCAGTATCACTACGGAAGTAGATTGCCCCATCTTCCTTCCAAGGAGTGGCTGGTGGGTTTGAACCTCCAGCCTTCTGGTTAGCAGTCAGGTGCCTTAGGCACTACGCTACCAGAGAAGTACATTAGTATTTAGTAAATAATAAAAATATATTGTTCTAAGGAGCTTTTTATTAATCAGCTCTTGAAAATTAGGGAAGTTGGCTTGTTTTTAATAAAATGTTAATTTATTGATCAAGGACTTGAGTGTTAAACATTTTTATTAGAGTGAGCCTTCTGACATTTAATGGAGTAGAAGTGTTAATCATTTAACACTGTCTTTTGTGTAAGTGCTTATGCTTTTGGTAGGTTTTTGTTTGTTTGTTTTTTAATAATTGGACTGACAGTTTAACAGTGCATGTGCCTTGGAATTTTAAAAAATAAGTCATATAGATACAGGGCTGCTGTTAAAGATACACAGGTTGTATGCTTGTGCAGGGATCCCTCTCCAGAGGGCAGAAATGAGGTTAAAATGGAGCTCACTCTGAGCAGCACATTTTCTAATTTGTCTGTCCAAAGGGAAGTGGAGTGCCTTTTTAAAATTTCTCAGTTCAGAGAGGATGCCTTTTTGCATTTTGCACAAAGGCATCGTATGAGATAGCTGTAGCCCTGTATGGATGATTTAAAAAGATGCTTGTATGCATATGGGATCACATTTGCTGTGTGAAAAAATACAATATTTGATTTATAAATCATGAAACACAAAGGACTTTAAACTTGCATGTAAAGAAATTATTTTTGGTTTTGATTTTTTTTTCTTTTGTTAACAATTCCTCATGACAGATCATGATGACACCGAACATGCAAGGTATTATCATGGCGATAGGTAAATCCAGGAATGTATATGACAGGTGTGGTCCTGAAGCAGGGTTCTTTAAGGTACAATTAACATTTCCATTTTTATTTTCTTCTTTTTTAAAAAATTAAGCTTTTGAAAATGTTTTATTTCTTCAGTTAACCTGTTTTACTTGTATAGTTCTTCTTTTTCTATATTAGCCCTGGCCACCTGATGTTTGAGGGATTGAGAGAATGTTATTTTATACATGAATCCAAGATTAATCTTTATTCTAGATAATTCAAGAAAAACAATGTATTTTACCAGAATTTCCCAGTAGTGCTCCTCTGATTTGGTAGCCAAAATTTAATTATTTATATCTGAAGAATGTAAAGGGAATTGATGAGTAATAATAGGAACTTAGTAACTGCTTCTGGTAATAGTTTATTTTTTCCTTATTGTTACTACTGTTAGTCCATATTACATGTCTTCCTTCAATTTTATTTTTTGATACTAAATAGCTTTCTACATTTCATGTTTCTAAAATGATTTACTACCATATGTTTCTTATTCACTTGTTTTCCTCATAATTAATTTTTGAAATTCTAGTCATTTCAAGACACTTGAGACTACTCCATGTCTAAGTGTTTTTTCTCTGTATTATCAGATCCTGTACATGTTTTTGTCACAGTATTATTTGCTTTCACATAGTTGAAGGATGAAAACACCATTTACATGATTTTTTATATATGAGAAACCATTTGCACCGAGAGACTTGTATCTTTTGACATAAAAACACTAAAATTGTCCCTGCTTTGCTGTCATCCAGCTCTGTCTTACCCCTCTTGTGACTGGTGGAGCATAGAGTGCCCGCCTACATTTTCCACCCCTGGGATTTAGTGAGAAACTGCTATCTCACTTTTAGTATGTACTAGCCTGTGGGTGGGCCTGTAAAACTAACTGTGATTCTGAAGAAATAAGCTTATCCTATCTAGCACCAGAGATCCCTTGGGACATATGTGCCCTACTAATTATATCAAAATCTATATTACTTAAAAGTTTTTTTCCACTTCATTCAAAATACCTTCCATTACTGAAAACACATGGTTTTACCAAAAAAAAATATAAGCAGAAAATAGTTCAATCTTGAAAGGATTAAAGTGCTAGTTATTTTTACTTTTTGTTTTTTGTGTGGTACAAAACCACGACTTGTACCTTATGTCGATAAATATTTTTGAATTCTTATAATTAGGGTGACCAGCAGTCCTTGTGTAGCCAAGATTGAAGGATTTGCCAGTATGCTATGGCAGAACATCCCAGGCAACTTGTTTCAGTACAAGCTGATAATCCTAATAGGATCTCATATGAGAAGCTGTAAAACTACTCTTAGAAAAAAGGAAAATAATTTACTTTTTTGTAGTTAGCCTGTTTCCTTACTAACATATTATATTAAAAAATTTATCCTCATGCCTAGGTGGTCTACCTTTCCTTTAAAAATATATTAAAAAACACTGAATATATGTCTTCTAAAATTTTCATCTACTTCTTGGGGAAAAGTTATCTGTAGTTTACAGTGCTGTTGTCGTTTTTTGTTGAATTACTGTGTATCACCATATTAAATTGGAAATGTCATTTTTGTTTTGAATTGTTATTTGGGTGAAAGTTCACAGAGCAAATTCACTTTCCATACAGCAGTTCACACACACATTGTCTCATGTGGAAATGTCATTTTTATTAAATTAATACATACACATAGTTTAAAGAATCCAGCTATTCTATATGCTACAAACAACAGTCACTGACTTCCCAGTGGTGACAAATGCTGTTATTTTATCTGATTCTTTTACTGTTTAATTCCATATATTTTTGTAATTCTCAAATTGCATATTACCTGTGAGATTGACTATGGAACACACACAAAAAAACCCAAAGTGGATGATAAATAAGCCTTCCCTTGTCCCATGTATATACACTGATTCATATAGTTCTCATCCCTCTCTATATTCACATGCATTCACATACCCACAAAAATGTTGGCATATATAAAAATCTTTTAAGTTTGATTAAATCAGAGTTAAATAAAAATTATTTGTATTGTTAATTATCTATGCTACTCAAGTTTGAGCTAAGTTGTAAACATTATTCTTTTCCTTTTTTCACTTAGCTTTCATATTCCTTGGAGGTAATAATTCATTTTATTTTTTTAGTTTGCTTAGTTTTCTATGTGTATTACTGATTCAATTTGTAACTCTTGACCAGTTGTTTAAATCTCCTGCTACTGTTTTGGTTTGTTTGTTTCTGCCAATTTTGTCTTCTCAGGGAAGTCTATTCTGGAGCGTTATGACCTGCTCCAGTATGAATTGATTATTCTTTATTCCTGATACATAACTAGTATCTTGATATCTCTTTTCACCATCACCCCGAAGGTTCCCTTTGTATCTTTCCCTTTGTGTATTGTCTGCATCTGTTTTCTTGCTCTTTTTTGGTTTACGCTCTGATTTTTGGTTTACCCTCTGAAGCAGTAAGAAAGAACAGGCTATCAAGAAAATAAGAAGCAGGTTTGTGAGATAGGTAATGGTCACAATGATTTTCTTAAGCAGATAATGTTAGGCATATTGTACCTTTCAGTATACAATAGAAAATAAAATAAATATGATTAATAAGTTTCAGTGAATCAGAAGTTAAGATTGTTATCTTCAGAAGTTTAAGCAGAGTTTGACATTTCACTTATGGCTATAGCATAAGAAACTGTTGCCTGTTAGGTGTTAAAAGCCATTATTTTAGTTTCTAGTTCTTTCACTAGGAATTCTGGTTGTGCATTGGTCAAACCCTTCAATTACTAACCAAAAGTTTGCAGTTGGTCCAAACCCACCAGCCAATCTGTGGGAGGAGGATGAGGCAGTCTGCTTCCTCAGTGATTTACAGCTTTGAAAATCTTGTGAAGCAGTTCTGCTCTGTCATGTAAGGTCACTATAAGTAGGAATTGACTTGATGGTAGTTTACTTTTTTGTGTAGTTGTTTGGTTTAGTTGTTTCACTAACCACTCTTATTACTACCCTGATAATCACTTACCTCCTTTCTTTCTGTTGAAAAGTTACTCAAATCTAGAATGTATGTGAGGGAAGAAGTAGCTTAATGCTTAGTATTACAGCCTAACCAGACTGCTTCACATCTAAGCCTAGGCCCACCATTTAATAGCTGTGATCTTGGAGACATCATTCAACTGCTGTGTATTTCTCTAATTTTTAAATGGAGATGATAATAGAATGAGGTAATAGTATATATTTTACTGGGTCATTGTGAGTTTTAAATAAGTTTATCAAGATTATACAGTTAATGTAGTATGTGATAGATAGTAAATGCTCACAACTTACCTATCTTATATAATTATTATCACTAGCTTTACATTATGGGTCCATTTTGAGTCCTGATGCAGTGGAAGATGCAAAGTGAGTCAGCTGTGTCAGTGTCAAGACCTTCATCTCAATAAAACGCTTTTTTTTTTTTTTTCCCTCTCCCCTTATCTCCCATCTCCATTAACCGACAAAATCAGTTTCCTTCCCTGAATGAACTTTCCTTGATTTTTTACAATAGTGGAGGCATACAATATTTGTCCTTCTGTGATTGACTTATTTCACTCAGCATAATGTCCTCTAAATTCATCCACATTGTGAGATGTTCATGTATTCTTCATTGTTCTTTAATGTTGCACAGTATTGCATTATGTGAATGTACCATAGTTTGGTTATCTATTCATCTGTTGATGGGCATTTAGGTTGTTTCTATTTTTTTGTTATAGTCAATTGTGCTACATTGAACATAGGTGTGCATATGTCTGTTCATGTTCTGGTCTCTCACCTCTTCAGGATATATTCCTAGTAATGGAATTGCTTGATCAAATGGTATTTCTGTTTTCAGCTTTTTAAGGAAATGCTGTGGGAGTTCTGGTGGCATAGTGCCTTAAGATATTTGACTGCTTACCAGAAAGCTGGCCGTTCAAACCCACCAGCCACTGCTTGGAAGGAAGGTTTGGCAGTCTATTTCCATGGCCATACTACCTCAGAAACCCAAGGAGGGGTCGCTATGAGTCAGGACCAACTCAATGGCTGTAAGAGTTTTTAAGGAAACACCATACCATTTTCTACAATGGTTGTACCATTTTGCAGTCCCACCAGCAGTGTACGAGTGCTCCAATCTCTCCACAGCCTCACTAGCATTTGTTATTTTCTCTCTTGTTCAACTTTGCTATTATTGCTGGGGTGAGAGGATAGCTCGTTGTTTTGATTTGCATCTCTAGTGCCTAAGGCATTTGACTGCTAACCCGAAGGCTGGCGGTTCAAACCCACCAGCCACTCCTTGGAAAGAAGATTGGGCAGTCTACTTCCATAGTGATACTGCCTCAGAAACCCATGGAGGGGTTGCTATGAGTCAGATCCGACTCGACAGCAGTGAGTTTGGTTTTGGAATGGCTAATGATCATGAACATTTCCTCAGTGGTTTGTTGGCTGCCTATATATCCTCTTTAGTAAAATGTCTGTTCATTTCTTTTTTTTTTTTTTTTTTAACTTATGTATTAGAAATTACTGAGTATTGACCATTTCACAAAACCAGCAGTTTCATTATGGTTCAACTTAATACTTACAATCACAGAACCTTCCTTTCTATCTTTTTACTTTGTTGTTGTTGTTGTTATGTGCCATTGAGTCAGACCCAGCTCATAGCGACTCCTCCTTGGGTTTCCGAGACAGTATCACTACGGAAATAGGTTGCCCCAACTTCCTTCCGAGGAGTGGCTGGTGGGTTTGAACTGCCAGCCTTCTGATTAGCAGTCAAGTGCCTTAGGCACTACACTACCAGAGCTCCCTTTTACTTTGTTAGTATATGTATATTTTATTAGTGTACATTTTCAAATATCTGGAAACACTATCAATTGTCTATAATTAATGTGTATTTTTGATATGGGTCAAAATAAGCAAATAATTTTTTTTATGTTTAGCTTTTCTGTTTTCATGGCAATTGATTCTAATCTATCAACATTTTGTGTTTACAAATACGTGCATGATAGAGTGTCTCATATATAATGGTTGTTTCTGTCTTATTTTTC